GATACATCTTGTGTACAGTACGTGCTACAAGGTATTGCAAACTGGGTTCATTCATTAAAACATTGAGCTTCTGCGTACTGTTTAAATAGTTAAAACCTGAACGATACAGTTCAGCTATTGTAAGAAGATGAACTCTGGTATCTGAATAAAAATCACATACAACTAAAAAATGACATTCGTCCTCAATACAATTTAAATCGCACAATGTACAAATTCTATTTTCTAATGGTATTTTAGGACGAGAATACCGACCTGTTTCAATATTAAGCTTTAAATTACCGCTACAAAGTCTCGCTAGAGCCTGTCTATATCTGAAATCCATAATACTAGAGGCATACTTTTCCGTATAATTACTAGATTTAAATAACCTATACGTTCTTAGCTTATTGCCGTTATTACACCTACGGTCATCATATAGTTCTCTATACCAATTACGATTATCAACATTTATAAAATGATTCTTGACTGCCTTTATACATTCTTTGGCAGATATTGTAGAACATGCAAGTAGATTATATAAGTTATTGTCCCTTAGGAGTTTAATAACTCTGTTCTCCCAGCTCCGATTGACAGAAACAGACCAAACATGTATTTTCTTGGGTAATCTAACCTCATCCAAGAATTTAAAATTTATCCACAGTCTACAGACTTCAACTTTTTGGTTCACTTCACAAGAGTTCCACCCAAGGTCGCCTCGTGCGGCGTTTTTCCCAGTTCCGAGGAAATATCTACACGCACGGTTTTGAACTGTTTGAACGAAGCGATATTTGTTATGTCCCCATATCGCACTACAATAAAAGAGTACAGGTTCCACAAGTGACTTGCAAAGTTGTCTAAAACTGCTAGTGACATCCCTCCTGCGAATTTTGATTTCGTTATAACTGCACTTAATGATCTATTTGCTGATTTGGCTAGTTTGCGCACAGATATCGACAAATCCAGGTGCTCTGTAAACCAGAACCCCAAGTATCGGTACCGATCAATATAATCAATATCGATATCGCCACACTTAAATTTGAAGAGAGAACGTTGAGATGGAGGATTTCTGAAATGGATCACTTTAGTTTTATCCTTGTTGATCAGTAATCGCCACTTTCTACACCAATGATTTAGACACTGGAGCATCCGTTGAAGAGAGAGTTCATCCGCTGCTAGTAGCGCGATATCGTCCGCGTACATTAAAAGCGAGATCATACAGTCGGCGTATATCACGCCACATTGTAGAGCCTTAATATCACTCGCCAGATCGTTCACGTAGATTGAGAAAAGAGCAGGAGAAATATTACACCCCTGTTTTACGCCCTGTGTGACGTTGAACCAATCTGTGACGTAATGATTTAAACGTATTGCACATCTCATCTGACGTCACTATATAACTATTTGACGGCGTTCATGAAAGCTCCCTCGATGCCGATTGCATATAATTTGTACCATAAACAATCCCGATTTACAGTGTCGAACGCCTTGCGTGTATCCACAAAGCATACAAAAGTACAAAGGTTTTCAATTTCCTGTTGTTGACTGTGTTGTAAAGCGAGTAGATGTAATCAAGACAGTTTCTTTTTTGCCTAAAACCATTTTGTTCATCTACTAGTACATCATGCATTTCTAGCCATTTGTTTAATCTCCGACCTAGTACATCTGTGTAGATTTTACAAAGAATAGATAGTAATGAGATCCCACGATAACTAAGAGGGTCTGTAGTATCCTTGTTGTCTGATTTCGGAATAGGCTGTATTATTCCTGATGACCAGTCACGTGGTATCTCTCCATTAACGAAACAATGGGTAATTTTTTTAGAAGAATGTCAACACATTATGTAAAGATTCTTTATACACAACCAGGAATTTTAATATGTGACATTTCGGTGACCAGTACGATCCGTACGCTGTCACCTTCCTCAGACAAATGACCAGTAAAGCATGTACACAAAGGTGTGATATGTGTACGAGTTGTCGTGGAATAGCGCCGATTTCGGACATGCTGACAAGTACCGAAATGACTGTTAGCTGTCTAGGTTGATGACTTTTGACTGGCCTTCCAAATATTAAGCATTACTTTAGGTGTACAAAGCTCTACACAGCGGGATACGGACGAACTAGGATTTCCAGGTTGTAAGGAGGAAAGGGCTATACAGAACTCTCATTTTTTTCATCATCGATCTTCAGAATTTTTTCTGTCTCGAGTATATTCGAACCTGTTTGTCTTTTGAGTATCGTTGGTGGGTGAAGTATCTTTGCCTCATATGTATCGAGTAGCCGTGAATGTTTCTGTATTTGGAGTATTCAAGGGTCCATCTGTCTCTGTATTAAGGAGCCATGAATGTTTCTGTATTTGGAGTATTCAAGGGTCCATCTGTCTCTGTATTAAGGAGCCGTGAATGTTTATGTATTTGGAGTATTCATGGACACATCTGTCTCTGTATTGAGTAGCCGTGAATGTTTCTATATATAAAGTATTCAAGGGTCCATCTGTCTCTGTATTGAGTAGCCGTGAATGTTTCTGTATTTGGAGTATTCAAGGGTCCATCTGTCTCTGTATTGAGTAGCCGTAAATGTTTCTGTATTTGGAGTATTCATGGACACATCTGTCTCTGTATTGAGTAGCCGTGAATGTTTCTGTATTTGGAGTATTCATGGACCCATCTGTCTCTGTATTGAGTAGCCGTGAATGTTTCTGTATTTGGAGAATTCATGGCCACATCTGTTTCTGTATTGAATAGCCGTGAATGTTTCTGTATTTGGAGTATTCATGGACACACCTGTCTCTGTATTAAGTATACGCTGATGTTTCTATAGGTAGAGTATCCGCGGACCTATCGCTTTAAGCAGTATTTGCTGGATCTCTGAGTCTGTCATTTTATTTTGAATAGAACTGATGAATGTAGACATAAACGTGTAATGTTACTTAAAGTACTGATCAGAAATAAGACATTTGATTTTTTAAGATTTTATTGAGAAAATTATTAAGAAAATAAAAACAATTCACATAACAGGAGAGTTTGACCATCAACAAACTAGGCCGGAGGTGATCACAGTAATTTTTGTTAATAATAACAATAGATCTATACAGTCTATCGTATATATTTCATTAATTATGCAGCAAAATAACTTAACACTACTTTAAATGACATTATTTAAGCCCTCTTCAAAGTCATAAAAACGAAACAAAATATATGATAGAACATATCATTTATGTTAATTTTCCTGTTCTCTTGAGATACATAAAGAGATATTTGACAATATATATATATAAATAATGATGCATTTGATACTGCTAAAATAAGAAAGGAAAGTCTGTCTATCATTACTATTATGAAAACAAACTTGATAAAATGTCATATGTTAGTACCAAACTAAATACACAGCATATTGTAAAACGATAAGTACACACTCACCGGGATAATGTGCTTACTTTGTATGTTTTATATATAAACCTACCTTGTAGTAATAAAATTTTAAAATGATAATACTCTCTGAATCACTGTCTACATAGTTGTACACTGTATATCTTTGTATTAAAATTAGTAAGTACATATTTGCATTCTGTTACCAATTGTACATAATTATTATACTGTTGCTTTTTTGTAGATAATAAACAAATATATTTTTAAATATTTATTTGTATCATGAACATATAACAAACACATCCCTGCGTCCTGATTGATAGAAGAAGGTCCTTAGGAACAAATTAATCAGCAAACGTCTTGTCCTTTTGTTGTCAAGATCCATAAAGTGCAGTGATTCTGTGTAAAAAATCATATGTTCAATTGTAATATGTACGTATCACGAGAGGATATCATATTATCGAGTGTATGAATAATATATATATATATATATATATATATATATATATATATCTGAGCATGTAATACGTGATATGATGAACAAAGACATGATAAAACATATTTATACCAATACACCGCTTGTTATCTCACTTATGTATTATTTTTAAGAGGTGGGGTTGAAACAAGGAATTCCCTGACATCATAAACCCCCCAAATAAACAGCGAATAATGTTTTCGTGAATTTATTTGTAGCTGCTCATACACTGAAATAAACAAGTTATGACAAAGTTTACTATAATGAAAATTAAGACAAAATAATTACCAAAATAAAAACAATGGACGCCGAGCCGCTACAACCGCCATGATCAAACAGGGTACAATGAGTATAGACACCCTCGTCGTCACGACCGCCGCGTTATCAAAACCTACAAAAAACACGCAAGGTACTATCAGGAACGACACATTACAACAAACACTCAAGGTACTATCAGGAACGACACATTACAACAAACACACAAGGTACTATCAGGAACGACACATTACAACAAACACACAAGGTACTATCAGGAACGACACATAACAACAAACACACAAGGTACAATTAGGAACGACACATTACAACAAACACACAAGGTACTATCAGGAACGACACATTACAACAAACACACAAGGTCCATCAGGAACGACACATCACAACAAACACACAAGGTACAATCAGGAACGACACATTACAACAAGCACACATGATGAGAGCAGGTACGACAGAATTCAGCAAACATCCAGGGTACAGGCAGGAACGACCGGCACCTCCAACAAACACAGAGGGTACAAGCAGGGAAGGCATCCTACACCAAACACGCAGGGTACAGACAGGAATGACCGGCACCCCAACAAACACACAAAATACAAGCAGGAAATACACAATACAGCAACCACTCATTCATATTTCTCAAATTCTCAAAAACGGTTCGACGTCTCCCATAAATAATTCCCTTTCTAATTAATCTATGTTTTCTCACATAATATAGCAAATCTATTTCTTCATTCTTGTGATCTTCGTACATTCGTAAGCTGAATCTGACTATGGTAGCGTAAATTCAAGGGAAGTTACATTAAAGAAACAACGAGAATGACATTTACAGGAAGGAGATAAGGACATCTATTGAAAAGTCAGCTTATAACACAGACAAAACAAAAATATTAGTGACCATACCCATTGACTCATCACTGTTGACTGCTTGATCATTTGTACTCGTCGTTGACGTGGTCGTATAGCTTGTGGTACTTGTCGTGGATGTAGTTGTAGGGTTTATGGTACTCGTCGTGGACGAGGTCGTATAGCTTGTGGTACTTGTCGTGGATGTAGTTGTAGGGTTTATGGTACTCGTCGTGGGTGTAGTTGTAGGGTTTATGGTACTCGTCGTGGATGTAGTTGTAGGGTTTATGGTACTCGTCGTGGGAGTAGTCGTAGGGTTTATGGTACTCGTCGTGGATGTAGTTGTAGGGTTTATGGTACTCGTCGTGGATGTAGTTGTAGGGTTTATGGTACTCGTCGTGGGAGTAGTCGTAGGGTTTATGGTACTCGTCGTGGGTGTAGTTGTAGGGTTTATGGTACTCGTCGTGGATGTAGTTGTAGAGTTTATGGTACTCGTCGTGGATGTAGTTGTAGGGTTTATGGTACTCGTCGTGGATGTAGTTGTAGGGTTTATGGTACTCGTCGTGGATGTAGTTGTAGGGTTTATGGTACTCGTCGTGGGAGTAGTCGTAGGGTTTATCGTGGACAAGGTCGTATAGCTTGTGGTACTCGTCGTGGGTGTAGTCGTAGGGTTTATGGTACTCGTCGTGGATGTAGTTGTAGGGTTTATGGTACTCGTCGTGGATGTAGTTGTAAGGTTTATGGTACTCGTCGTGGGTGTAGTTGTAGGGTTTATGGTACTCGTCGTGGGTGTAGTTGAAGGGTTTATGGTACTCGTCGTGGACAAGGTCGTATAGCTTGTGGTAGGGTTTATGGTACTCGTCGTGGATGTAGTTGTAGGGTTAATGGTACTCGTCGTGGATGTAGTTGTAGGGTTTATGGTACTCGTCGTGGATGTAGTTGTAGGGTTTATGGTACTCGTCGTGGGAGTAGTCGTAGGGTTTATGGTACTCGTCGTGGATGTAGTTGTAGGGTTTATGGTACTCGTCGTGGATGTAGTTGTAGGGTTTATGGTACTCGTCGTGGGAGTAGTCGTAGGGTTTATGGTACTCGTCGTGGGTGTAGTTGTAGGGTTTATGGTACTCGTCGTGGATGTAGTTGTAGAGTTTATGGTACTCGTCGTGGATGTAGTTGTAGGGTTTATGGTACTCGTCGTGGATGTAGTTGTAGGGTTTATGGTACTCGTCGTGGATGTAGTTGTAGGGTTTATGGTACTCGTCGTGGGAGTAGTCGTAGGGTTTATGGTACTCGTCGTGGACAAGGTCGTATAGCTTGTGGTACTCGTCGTGGATGTAGTCGTAGGGTTTATGGTACTCGTCGTGGATGTAGTTGTAGGGTTAATGGTACTCGTCGTGGATGTAGTTGTAGGGTTTATGGTACTCGTCGTGGACAAGGTCATATAGCTTGTGGTACTCGTCGTGGATGTAGTTGTAGGGTTTATGGTACTCGTCGTGGACAAGGTCGTATAGCTTGTGGTACTCGTCGTGGATGTAGTTGTAGGGTTTATGGTACTCGTCGTGGACAAGGTCATATAGCTTGTGGTACTCGTCGTGGATGTAGTTGTAGGGTTTATGGTACTCGTCGTGGACAAGGTCGTATAGCTTGTGGTACTCGTCGTGGGTGTAGTCGTAGGGTTTATGGTACTCGTCGTGGATGTAGTTGTAGGGTTTATGGTACTCGTCGTGGGTGTAGTCGTAGGGTTTATGGTACTCGTCGTGGATGTAGTTGTAGGGTTTATGGTACTCGTCGTGGGTGTAGTCGTAGGGTTTATGGTACTCGTCGTGGATGTAGTTGTAGGGTTTATGGTACTCGTCGTGGATGTAGTTGTAGGGTTTATGGTAATCGTCGTGGGTGTAGTTGTAGGGTTTATGGTACTCGTCGTGGGAGTAGTTGTAGGGTTTATGGTACTCGTCGTGGGTGTAGTCGTAGGGTTTATGGTACTCGTCGTGGATGTAGTTGTAGGGTTTATGGTACTCGTCGTGGATGTAGTTGTAGGGTTTATGGTACTCGTCGTGGATGTAGTTGTAGGGTTTATGGTACTCGTCGTGGATGTAGTTGTAGGGTTTATGGTAATCGTCGTGGGAGTAGTCGTAGGGTTTATGGTACTCGTCGTGGATGTAGTTGTAGGGTTTATGGTACTCGTCGTGGGAGTAGTCGTAGGGTTTATGGTACTCGTCGTGGATGTAGTTGTAGGGTTTATGGTACTCGTCGTGGATGTAGTTGTAGGGTTTATGGTACTCGTCGTGGGAGTAGTCGTAGGGTTTATGGTACACGACGTGGACAAGGTCGTATAGCTTGTTGTACTCGTCGTGGAAGTAGTCGTAGGGTTTATGGTACTCGTCGTGGATGTAGTTGTAGGGTTTATGGTACTCGTCGTGGATGTAGTTGTAAGGTTTATGGTACTCGTCGTGGGTGTAGTTGTAGGGTTTATGGTACTCGTCGTGGACAAGGTCGTATAGCTTGTGGTACTCGTCGTGGATGTAGTTGTAGGGTTTATGGTACTCGTCGTGGACGGGATCGTATAGCTTGTGGTACTTGTCGTGGGTGTAGTTGTAGGGCTTCTGGTACTCGTCGTGGACGAGGTCGTATAGCTTGTGGTACTCGTCGTGGGTGTAGTTGTAGGGTTTATGGTACTCGTCGTGGACAAGGTCGTATAGCTTGTGGTACTCGTCGTGGGTGTAGTTGTAGGGTTTATGGTACTCGTCGTGGACAAGGTCGTATAGCTTGTGGTACTTGTCGTGGGTGTAGTTGTAGGGCTTCCGGTACTCGTCATGGACGGGATCGTATAGCTTGTGGTACTTGTCGTGGGTGTAGTTGTAGGGCTTCTGGTACTCGTCGTGGACGCGGTCGTATAGCTTGTGGTACTCGTCGTGGATGTAGTTGTAGGGTTTATGGTACTCGTCGTGGGTGTAGTTGTAGGGTTTATGGATTCGTCGTGGATGTAGTTGTAGGGTTTATGGTACTCGTCGTGGACAAGGTCGTATAGCTTGTGGTACTCGTCGTGGGAGTAGTCGTAGGGTTTATGGTACTCGTCGTGGACGAGGTCGTATAGTTTGTGGTACTCGTCGTGGGTGTAGTTGTAGGGTTTATGGTACTCGTCGTGGACAAGGTCGTATAGCTTGTGGTACTCGTCGTGGGTGTAGTCGTAGGGCTTCCGGTACTCGTCGTGGACAAGGTGTAGTTGTGGTTTATGGGTGTCGTTGTGGGTTTATGGTACTCGTTGTGGACAAGGTCGTATAGCTGTGGTACTCGTCGTGGATGTAGTTGTAGGGTTTATGGTACTCGTCGTGGATGTAGTTGTAGGGTTTATGGTACTCGTCGTGGGCGAGGTCGTATAGCTTGTGGTACTTGTCGTGGGTGTAGTTGTAGGGCTTCCGGTACTCGTCGTGGACGGGGTCGTATAGCTTGTGGTACTTGTCGTGGGTGTAGTTGTAGGGCTTCCGGTACTCGTCGTGGACGAGGTCGTATAGCTAGTGGTACTCGTCGTGGGTGTAGTCGTAGGGCTTCCGGTACTCGTCGTTGACATTGACGTGGTCGTTGATATTGTGGTACTCATCGTGGGTGTGGTCGTAGAGGCTGTGGCACCCGTCATCGGCGAAATCGTAGAACTTGTAGTACTAATGGTGGGTGTGATGATAAAATTTGCAGTACTCATCGTTGACGTGGTCGTAGAACTTGTGGTGCTCATCGAGGGGGTAGTTATAGAACTTGTGGTGATTGTAGTGGGTGTGTTCATAGAGCTTGCGATGTCGTTGACATTGACGTGGTGGTTGATATGTGATGCTTGTAGGGTGTGTGGAGCTGTGGCACCCGTCATCGGCGAAATCGGACGTGTAGTACTAATGGTGGGTGTGATGATAAAATTTGCAGTACTCATCGTTGACGTGGTCGTAGAACTTGTGGTGCTCATCGAGGGGGTAGTTATAGAACTTGTGGTGATTGTAGTGGGTGTGTTCATAGAGCTTGCGATGTTCGTCGAGGGCGTGGTGATTGTGATGCTTGTAGTGGGCATAATTGTGGAGCTTGTGGTAGTCGTCGAGGGCGTGGACGTGGACGTGGTCGTTGAGCTTGTGGTAGTCAACGTGGGTGTGGTAATTGAGCTTGTGGTGCTCATCGAAGGGGTAGTAATAGAACTTGTGGTGATTGTAGTAGGTGTGTTCATAGAGCTTGCGATGTTCGTCGAGGGCGTGGTGATTGTGATGCTTGTAGTGGGCGTAATTGTGGAGCTTGTGGTACTCGTCGAGGGTGTGGACGTGGTCGTTGAGTTTGTGGTACTCGTCGTGGATGTGGTCGTAGAAGCTGTGGCACCCGTCATCGACGAAATCGTGGTACTCGTCGAGGGTGTGATGATAAAACTATTCGTTGACGTGGCTGTTGAACTTGTGGTAGTCATCGTGGGCGTTGTCATAGCGCTTGCGATGATAAGGGCCTCCGTAGTGGTGGCAAGGGAGTTTGAACTAGACAGAGGAGTGTTGACAATAGTGCCTGAACTAGACAGGGGAATGATGACAGAAGTACTTGAATTATACAGAGGTGTGGTGACAAGGGAGTTTGAACTAGACAGAGGTGTGGTGACAAGGGAGTTTGAACTAGACAGAGGTGTGGTGACAAGGGAGTTTGAAGTAGACAGAGGAATTGGGACAGAAGTCCTTGAATCAGAGAAAGGAGTGGTGACAATGGTGATGGAACTAGCGATAGTATTTGGTCCAGAAAAAGAATAAGAATATGAGGATGAGGATACTGTGACGCCTGTATAAGACGCAGATGGGAATACAGTGGCGCTAGAGGTAGAAATTGGGTGAGCAGAGTCAGACGGAATGACATTGCCATTCGTGGTATAAAAAGATGCAGAGACAGACTGAGTTAAGCCATGTAGAGATGATGCAACAAAAGATGTTTGTGAACCAGCTTCTTCGCAGTTTTCAGGGATGGGCGCTGTCATGGTATTATCTGTTGGAAAGAGAATAGCAATTTGACTACAGCATGCCTGGAATTATATCAATGTAAACACGACTGAATATATTTAATCGAACATTTCTCTTCTCAGTGATTAATTAAAACGGGAGTGATTTGTTTTAAAATTCATTTGGTATAAGGTATTATAGACAAGATCGCATCAATGGTAATAGGTAGTGGATATCAAATACCTATCCTGTTATCAGTGTCATAACTAAAAACACAAGCTTTATATGACCTAGAGGAGCGATGATTGGCTGGAGGTTCCCTATGTAACGTCACAGCTAAATATTGAGATAGAATATCGCCAATTTACATTTTGTATCGGTCTAAGACAAAGACAATTATGTAATAAGGAGAATGTTACATTTATTTTTTCTTATTTGAGAGATTAATGAAACTCTCATTTGTTTGGTATATAGGGTGAAAATGAGATTTGTTTAAAAATCTGCTGTGATCAGAAACTTATTTAGAGTCCGCTCTTTAATCACTTATGTTTTTCCCTGTAATTAACTGAAGAGTATGAGTATGATAACCGAGGATGTTTCCTGGGTTTTTTTTTAACTCATGAATGTAACTAATATTTATTTGAATGATTGTAACTTTAAAACGGAGAATTACGATAAGCAATTTTGATGAACATTTATCTGAAACGGAAATTAAGATGTTTGGTTTAAAATATTTTCTTCTCCGTCACTTTTCTGAATATTTAATGTACCTAATTTCTGTCATCAGTATCTATTATGATGTGCAAATAGAAAAACTTCCATTCCTGCTAAACCCTCTTACCACCACTAGAAAATCTAACCAAAAAACAAAAGCGAAAAAACAAAAGCAGTAGCAGAGGTTTTCCATTGCCTTTACATACCAATCTTTTCCACTAAGGTCGGTACCAGTCCACATATTTGGTTGTAGGATGTGACGTATAGGATGTTATTCGGGTCACGGGCAATGTCCAGCAGTTCCTGCGAGGTGGGATCAATACCTACACTGACCACATATATAACACTGTTTGGTATGGTGTCGAGAATCAGGTTGGCCGTCGAACTAGCTAATGCATTTGTGGGCAAACTGTCTGTTATAAGAACGACAATGTGCTCAGCGTTAAATCTGTACCCTCTATTAATGGAGAAAGATTGCACTTGTACATAAACCAAAGCTTGGTATAAATCGTTGTTACCACTGGGTACAATGGAATCTTTTAGGCTTTCGACTGCTTGAAGTAGACTTGTCTTGTCCAGGTAGTCATTAAGGTCAAACTCTTCACTGACATCGTCTGAAAAGGTCACCACCGACACCTGGGTATCCTCTATTCCAACGTTCAGTGAGTTTGCAACGTTGACTAGGTAGTCAACCGTCAGATTGAAATCTGAGTACCCCTTACCACCTGACGTGTCCACCACAAACACCACATCTGAAAAGGTAGGAAATGGACATTGGTCAATAGTTTGGCAAAATAGACAAAATCGCTGAAAGAGCAGTGATTCAATATTTGCATAAGAAAGGTCTAGCATAGAAGGATATCCATACTGATATGGTAGCAACACTAGGCAATGATGCCACTTCATATGCTACAGTTAAAATGTATGTGTCTGAATTTAAGAGTGACAGACAGAGCTTTGGGGATGACGCCCGTTCTGGAAGGCCTGTCTGTGTTGCAACCCCAGCAATGATAAATAAAGCCCATAATATTATGGCTGACAGGCGCTTTACAGATATATGCATAGCCAGTGCAGCTGGGATTTCACGGGAAAAATACATTCCATTCTTAGGAAAGATATCACAAAGAGAAGGCTCTCAACCCGTTCGGTACAGAGACTTCTAACTGTTTATCAAAAGGACACCAGGCGAACTTTGTCGCGTGCTAATCTAAACTTTAGGAGGCAGATCTTTCTGCAGAGGTCCAGCATTTCACCTCAGAGGCCAAACAAGAGTCTAAACAATGGAAACACCCTGTTTCACCCCGCGAAAGTGGGTAAAGACTGTTCCATCAGCTGGAAAGAATACGGCCTTATGTTGGAAAATGATAATGCAATATGTCCGCCAACAGTCAAACTCTTAAATATGAGGTTCACAACTTTTTAATCAATCATGATGACATGAGGGAGTCATTTTTCCAATGGTCACAACATTCAGTGACCGAAACTGCATGTCCACGTGACCAGTAAGTATTGTGACGTTGCAACTTCACATTATATATAAAAAAAAATGCTCTTTTGTAATCACTGTACGCATTGACCAGAGTATCATTAGCCGTGATAACCAGTAATTACCAAAATTAGCAGATATCTAATACAACTGTAGTTCGTTTTAATGTAACATTATGAAAGCGTGTACTACCAGATATCAACTACATAGGTAATAAAATGAATTGAATGGGGTTGTCATTCACACAGACATGATTACCTATAGATAGTCAGCAAACGATCTGTCGATATTTAATGGTGCAAGGGAAAACTGTTCATTATTCACGGTAAGGAATTACGTTATTATTTCTGTCGTACTAAATATACTTAAATGTATTGCTAATGTGTTACAGATCTACACACTGTGGTGAATATGAGGTCCGTACATGGTATCTCACAATGCCATGGATCGTACGTAATGTAATAATGGTAATCAGTATTTTCAACAGATTTACCACGAATGCTATCATGTCTCAGAACAATTGATAAATAAGAAGAAAAAAAGTTTGACTCAAAAACTTTTGTCCGTATCATAAAAGTTTACCTAATACATTTTTCGTGTTATATATTCTGAAATCAACGATTTTCTGAGGGATTTATATAAAAAAAATAAGCATTATATTTTTCAGAAATTGACTCTGTATATATATATCAGATTATCGTCAGAATCCACGCTGGAGAAGTTTTCAGAAACCTTACTGTACCTTTCAATTAACCACTCTACTATAAATCAGTGTTAATTTGTTATCGATATGTTTGAATATGTCTTTCGTCAAAGAAGTATAACAGCATTAATTGATATGCCATTTTAATACCTATTCCTTCGTAAGTTTATATTTTTAAACATTGTTAATATTAGTGTCCTTAATTTCCTTTGATGTTCTTTTATTGTTTATTTATCTATACTGTACAATGTCAGTTTCATGTTTTATCAATGCATGTATCTATTACTCTTCTTATTGTAAATATCATGATGTTTGCGTTTATGGCAGATCATGTATACAGCAAAAGTAATTAATCTTACAAGTTTTCTTTCATTGATTTATCTTATATTATTTTTAGATATATAGTTTCCTAAACGACTTTGTGTTTCCTTTAAGCAGTGTCATTTTACAAGTATAGATACTGACGGTGGGTTATTGACGTTGTTTATCATTGAGATTATGTTTTTAATAGACGTTAAACATGACTGAGAACTGTAAGAGTGTGGCAAAGCAACTACATGGAGAAAGAAAAAGAAGGAAAACACGGTTATTATGACTATCTATATAAAAATTGATAGATAAAGAAGACTCCAAAACGTTTTTGTTTCTGTCTTTGATTTGTTTGTCTTCTTTTCTCAATGAGCTGTTTGTAAGCAATTTGTGAACTGTAAATATTATATAAGGATTGAATATTAATTTTTGGAAGCTCGCACAGTATTTTCAATAATTGATATTTTAATGGTGCTTTATAGATTGTATTTGTTACCAACCAGCGCTCCATTTAATATACTCGTTTGAGATATTGCTGCTTTAATTTGACATAGCGCAAAGAACTTACTCTTCGCCACATCGGGTATCTCAAACCTACACAATAATATTATTTTCTTTAATTAGTCTTGCTACATTGAAGCATTTTATCGTAAATTCAAAACATTATGCCATGTATGTTGTGTAGCAATCCTTCAGTTGAATTGCTTCTATTGGTGTAGAATGATGAATCACTAGTTTGTATGAACATATTAACAGAACTGGTAAAAATACATTGATATATTAGAGTGTTAAAGCACAATGGAAACACTATTCAGTGAACAAATAAACTGGTAGTCACAACACTTTGGAGATAATTTTGAAGGATGGATAACCCAATGCTTGATCAGTCAGTTTCTAAAATATTCATATATTCATAATATACTGTGGCATTAAACAAAATATTCCAGGTGTCCACGGTCCTGTTTCAGTAGTCCACAACCCTGTTTCAATAGTCCACAACCCTGTTTCAGTAACCCACAACCCTGTTCCAGTAGTCCACAACCCTGTTTCAGTAGTCCACAACCCTGTTTCAGTAACCCACAACCCTGTTTCAATAGTCAACAACCCTGTTTCAGTAACCCACAACCCTGTTTCAATAGTTCCCAACCCTGTTTTAGTATTGATGATATCTTTAAGCCCATCACGTTACGCTTTAAACATCTCTCTGCATGTTGTACCAATTTTGCAAACATAAAATCAATCAAATGAGAAAATGACACAAACGATTCAGTTATCGTTAAACGACAGAGAGTTATTGTGAAAACAGACATTTCAGACATTTTGATAATCTTGTTAAGAATTGTTTCCATCCACAGAGATAAATGATACTGGATTAGATTAATAAAATCAAATAAAACTCTAGGCTTTACCTTTTTTATCTGCTGCTACACACAAACTACCAAAGACAAGCAGCGAAAACAGTTGTAATAGCTCCCAGTGCGACCCCATCTTTGGTCCAGACGAGAAATACCACTACTTATCTACCGCTGTTCTTAACTACCCTATAACACAGTGAGGAATATATCTTTGCGGCTGGTCTGAAGGTCGTATTGCGGAGACGTTAATTCTATCTATACCTGTGTGTTTCTGAAGTTTTGAATAATTGGTATCTGTTTACATGTGTGTCCAGAAACAGCTGACCTTGTTTCGTCAGGATTTATGCAATCAGACTTCAATGCTTTCAAATCTTCTAGATATAAGAACCGATCACTAGAAACTTCGTATTAGCCTACCGTTTGATACTATTGAAACACAGAGTTGCTCAGAAGGCGTCTCTCTGACATTTCTTTAATAAGAAACGTCCTTAGAAGTAATGAACTCGGACGAAATCTAAATCATACCATATTACGTCAGGTTACATAATCATATAGATATAACCAATAACTTACTTTACTCCAACTTAATATGCATGCCAAGACAATGACTGATTGAACCAGACACGTCCTGACCTTTGTGTCCCTTGTTTCTTAGTTACCAAAGTTACATCGATCGACCTACTCGTCAGACTAAGGTCACCCCAGATGAGGTCCCTTTGGATATATCAAGCGATCTATGTCTTCACCTTGCATTTATAACAACACTGCTATGCTGGAAGCCTATGATGATCATGACATAGTTATTTATGAAACAAGGAGCCTGCCAGGCAAGGATAAAGAAAAACTTTGCTATCACGAACTAACAACATGCTGCCATCTCGAAAACACAGAATGAGTTGACAAAGCTCCGTGTGGCCCATTCTTTACCATCTATTTTATTATCTGTAGGAAACTAATCAGAATATTTTTCTATCTGTGAAGCAATGGCTTTCAGCACTTAGTCTTAAGATGGGCAAAGTATTCCTAACGATACAATTTTTTTGCATATCATTAGCTATTTGGTAGATTCTAACACAGAGATAATACATTATGCAGATTAATTTAGTCAGTATCAGAGAGGGAAACTCATTGTAATCGGTACAATCGGTAATCGGAGGGTAATCAAGAGGTTTTATTGTTGGCATCGCTTCATGGTCATTATTACTGTGATAGATATTTGTCATCTCTGGTCGAAGTAAGAGAACGGTTAGAATGTCTAGCAAATATATTCTTATGGAAATTTGGAGAAACAATGAGAAAAACCAACTATTTAACTGTACGATATACATTTTTTCGTCGGTGTCTATTTTCGTTATTTTAAAACTATTTTCGTCGTATCAATGTGCGCTTTGATTAGACTGGTGAATTTAAATTGAGAAAGAAAAAAATTCATCAAATAGTGAAATAAACCTGTTATGCGATATCATTGACTGCGTAGTTTGTTGAATACAACAAAGCGATGACTCAACTCCTATTTTTGTCAAAACGTCAGTGATTTTAATTTTAAAAGGTTTCATATTTTACCTTAACAAAATAAAAAGGATAAAGGTAGAAAAAAAACTAACGCTTTACAAAGTTTGGAATTGACACTTCCCATCTTTTCTTGGAGTGAACAAAAGGGGGAGGGATGTAACAAAAAAATCCTCGCTTCCGATAGTGCTATTAAGTAAACGTAAAAAGAAAGCTTATCTATAGGTTAATTTCCTTCAATTTGAAATTGCAGTCCGACTCCTTGACAAGTTGTCAAAATCAGTGGGGTTTTTTTAATGTTCAGAAATATATAGGAAATACTTTTTGTGTATTAATAAGTGGTAAAAAAAAATTGCGTATGAATTTCGGTTTTCTCTCTCACCATGACAACCATTAACGTATATAACAAACACGTTCATTGAAGGAAACTATTTTTCACAATTAGTTTCATCGACTTACTCAGTGACTAATTGATGTAGTCTATAGTAGTAGACTATGTCTCTCAAAGAGGTGAACCATTTACAATCTTTTTTCAAACATTATCATTTTCGATGCATTTTTATAAATATTATACTTTTTATAGCACGAATGTTTGGGAGGATTAGATTCCTTAGCAAGTAAAAGTACAGGTTTTATTGATACCGCTACTGTCGTCCAAAAATCATTTTTCAGTGCATTCAGTGAAAGTAACCACTTTTTAAAGCAGAAGAGCACCTTTAGCTCTAACGACTACTGTATACAGGTCAACATGGTAAATTGGTGTCTAAATCCTCAAAAACAACATTTTTGAAATATATTGTAACTTTGAGGAATTTGAAAAGTAATTGAAAGCATGATAACCGGATATGATACATTCTAGATGGATTTTTATGAGTTATTTTGAAGTACGAAGTTATTTTCATCCGATTTTGAACATTTCAGAAAACAGTGCTGCCCTTCACCCTCTCTGTTACTTCAAAAAAAGAGATATTTTAGAAAATAATCACAATTTTGACCGACAGATTTAATATTGTAATGTTATTGCAACCGTTTTATTTTCTCATCATCTTATTATATACGATCAAGAAGAAACAGCAAAGATACACTGAAATACCCAAAGAATCTAAATTGAAACTCATGTTCGATGAAACTAGGATAAAATATGAAGGATTCACATGGCGACCCATAAAAACACATGACAAATTTGACGAGGTCTTTCTGAAAGGTAACATGATCAAAGATCTCAAAGAAGATAGCTGGACGTATAGAAGGACAATGGTAAAGTCTCCATTGTCATTTCTGTTGTTCTATATCATTGACTACAGTCGTCATGGTATATAAGTGATGATGACGGTTATGGAACCATTAATATGTAATAATGTGGTGTTATTCCGGGTTTTTTTTATTGTAGGTACATGGTATTAGGAATGTGAAAATGGTGAACAGATCGATAGCACCTTTAAGGAGAATTATACGCAATCTTTAGAGTTTGTATCATAGAAATGTTCTCATTATGGTTAGACTTTTATTTAACGGTGTAAGAAAATAAACTTTCCAGAATGATGTCCGAGATAAAAGCAAGCCTCATCATGTTTATAAATAAACAAGTAAATAAATATAGTGTGAAGATTATGAATCGCTGCAACATTCCTTATGTAACTAAAAAAAACGCATGTTTTGAATGATAAGATATATTCTACTATTATTTCAATAGAAGATATATTTGTATCAAAGTCGCCATACGTCGCGTCATATATAATTTTGCAACTTCATTAGTCAACTATCAAATCTGACTGTATTCGTATGAAGAATTTACCTTTTTGAACAGCTGTTACACCGAGACTTCCACAGATAAATAACACACACAGCTGAATCGCAGACGAAAGTGGTCTCATCTTTAATCCAGAATACTACCGCATGATATTACCTGACCAGTACACTCCGTCAATCTTAAAGAAAGTATGTCCCTTTTGCGCTTCATTTGAAGGTCGTATTAGTGTCATTTATCTTTATATATACTTTACCTACTTTCATAATTGGTATTCTCCATACAATATCAACAAATTGGCGTCCTTGTTAATACCGATTTAGCTCACTATAAAAATTTAAAATATTTAAACTGTTTGAAAAGAAATGTATTGGTAAAAGAAGTCCGGCAATCAAGTGAGCTAATAGATTTCGCTACAAGGTTTTAGCTGATTTCACAGTACATGACAGTTTTTGACATTAAATATCAATGAGAAAAACTACACAGGCAAATAGCAGTGAAAATGAGTGTGTCAGATTGATATGATAAGATACATAAGACAAAGCGATATGCTTTTGTGGGGTAAGAGAGGAGAAAACAAAATTGGTCACTACCTAAAATGTGTACGAATCATTTTGACTTCTTTGAAGGGAAATGGTATTGATAATTCCAACGTCAATATTTCAAGGTTCTATTCAAGACTGCTGTGTAAATATTAGTCCTTACGCATTAGGAATGCCACATATATCTTTAAAGTTCTTAAACGTTCTGGCTCATTCGCTGTTTTCATTATACAAAGATTTGAAGCGGAAAGAAGGGAATTTTAACATTGAAGAGAATAAGATAATGTCAGGGTTTTCGATTAACTTTTCATTTCAATCTGTAATTTCATGTCAAATATATTATTGAAATAACATGGTATCAATTGTCTTATCTTTAACGTCAATATTGCTTTGTTTACCAAATATAACACTTACAAAATAACCCGTA